CCCAACATGAACCCCAATGACATTGCCTTCACAACAGGCTGACCCAACATAAACCGCACTGTCTCTGCTTCCATGCAATACGCACCTTTCTACTCCACTACACAGGCAAGAAGACTTCCTCATGACAAGTGATTCAAGCAAGACAATACCCATCATTTTTTGACAAACTAGTTGTCGTTTAGACGGACGCATGATCCGAGAAATAGGGAATTCCAATAATTACTCAGAAACATCCGTGAAGAATAATCATAGCAAAGATGCATTTCATCAAGGAAATGCAGTGATTCTTAGTAATGTTTAATTGAGGGTAGTGCCTGAATCTTATCGCCAAATTTAATCGAAATTGTAGTGCTAGTGTCATGCATGGTATTAAGCATACAATTCGACTTCGTGCAGGGCTGGCCTACGGATTACGTGAGACAATGGTTCATGGAAAAATATATCACAGAACTGATTAACAAAATATCATCAAGTTACTTCATATCCACACCAGAAGGGCAGCACTATACGACCTGCCCTATAACAGGAAGACAATTAGTCGTATAGTAGTCATAGCAGTGTTATAAATTTTAATTTTACATGTTTTTAATGCCGACCCCGTGCATACCAACGTGATTTTTTGCATTGTGTTTCCCTCCATAATATATATGTAATGCTCTCAATCATTCTTTGTCCGTGTCTTTTGTTTTTCTCATATTTATATTTCACCATACTTTCCTGCCAACTTCCATTATTGAAAATTTCTCAATTCTATAGTGATAGCAAAGTTTAATTGAAATCACAAAATTGTTGTTAATTCACAAAAGAGCATCATTCTGTCAGAAGTGGGATTCGAACCCACGCCTCCAGGGGAGACTGCGACCTGAACGTAGCGCCTTAGACCGCTCGGCCATCCTGACTGTGGCATGTTGTCACAATAGGATAATTTCAATCCATTCTCAGCAATCGATCCACGTGGTTCGTGTGAAATATACATTCTCATTATTTATCCGGTCAAGACCACTTCCTCATCACCAGTGAATCAAGCAAGACAGTACCAACCATTATTGACAAACTAGTTGTCGTTTAGACGGACGCATGATCCTAGAAAGAGGGAATTCCAATATTTACTCAGAAACATCCGTGAAGAATAATCATAACCAAGATGCATTTGATCAAGGAAATGCAGTGATTGTCAGTAATGTTTAATTGAGGGTAGTGCCGAATTTTATCGCCAAATTTAATCGAAATTGTACCGCTAGTGTCATGTATGGTATTAAGCGTACAATTCGACTTCGTGCAGGGCTGGTCTACGGCCTATGTGAGACAATGGTTCATGGAAAAATATATCACAGAACTGAGTGACAAAATATCATCAAGTTACTTCATATCCACACCAGAAGGGCAGCACTATCCTACCTGCCCTACAACAGGAAGACAATTATGAGACCTCCTTTGCCAGTAACAAGATATAGTAATAGGTTTTACCCTTTTAACTGGCACAAAAAACTGACACCTTTATTCAAGGCATCATGTCTGCAATAACCGCAACACAAGGAGTCAAAATGCAAACAAAAAGACAACTCTGATAATAGGACAGTGCATATTATTCGATCCAACTTCCATTAATGAATATTTCTCAATTCTATAGTGATGGCAAAGTTTAATTGAAATCACAAAATTGTTGTTAATTCACAAAAGAGCATCATTCTGTCAGAAGTGGGATTCGAACCCACGCCTCCAGGGGAGACTGCGACCTGAACGTAGCGCCTTAGACCGCTCGGCCATCCTGACTGTGGCATGGTGTCACAATAGGATAATTTCAATCCATTCTCAGCAATCGATCCACGTGGTTCGTGTGAAATATACATTCTCATTATTTATCCGGTCAAGACCACTTCCTCATCACCAGTGAATCAAGCAAGACAGTACCAACCATTATTGACAAACTAGTTGTCGTTTAGACGGACGCATGATCCTAGAAAGAGGGAATTCCAATATTTACTCAGAAACATCCGTGAAGAATAATCATAACCAAGATGCATTTGATCAAGGAAATGCAGTGATTGTCAGTAATGTTTAATTGAGGGTAGTGCCGAATTTTATCGCCAAATTTAATCGAAATTGTACCGCTAGTGTCATGTATGGTATTAAGCGTACAATTCGACTTCGTGCAGGGCTGGTCTACGGCCTATGTGAGACAATGGTTCATGGAAAAATATATCACAGAACTGAGTGACAAAATATCATCAAGTTACTTCATATCCACACCAGAAATGGCAGCACTATCCTACCTGCCCTACAACAGGAAGACAATTATGAGACCTCCTTTGCCAGTAACAAGATATAGTAATAGGTTTTACCCTTTTAACTGGCACAAAAAACTGACACCTTTATTCAAGGCATCATGTCTGCAATAACCGCAACACAAGGAGTCAAAATGCAAACAAAAAGACAACTCTGATAATAGGACAGTGCATATTATTCGATCCAACTTCCATTAATGAATATTTCTCAATTCTATAGTGATGGCAAAGTTTAATTGAAATCACAAAATTGATGTTAATTCACAAAAGAGCATCATTCTGTCAGAAGTGGGATTCGAACCCACGCCTCCAGGGGAGACTGCGACCTGAACGCAGCGCCTTAGACCGCTCGGCCATCCTGACTGTGGCATGGTGTCACAATAGGATAATTTTAATCCATTCTCAGCATCGATCCACGTGGTTCGTGTGAAATATACATTCTCATTATTTATCCGGTCAAGACCACTTCCTCATCACCAGTGAATCAAGCAAGACAGTACCAACCATTATTGACAAACTAGTTGTCGTTTAGACGGACGCATGATCCTAGAAAGAGGGAATTCCAATATTTACTCAGAAACATCCGTGAAGAATAATCATAACCAAGATGCATTTGATCAAGGAAATGCAGTGATTGTCAGTAATGTTTAATTGAGGGTAGTGCCGAATTTTATCACCAAATTTAATCGAAATTGTACCGCTAGTGTCATGTATGGTATTAAGCGTACAATTCGACTTCGTGCAGGGCTGGTCTACGGCCTATGTGAGACAATGGTTCATGGAAAAATATATCACAGAACTGAGTGACAAAATATCATCAAGTTACTTCATATCCACACCAGAAGGGCAGCACTATCCTACCTGCCCTACAACAGGAAGACAATTATGAGACCTCCTTTGCCAGTAACAAGATATAGTAATAGGTTTTACCCTTTTAACTGGCACAAAAAACTGACACCTTTATTCAAGGCATCATGTCTGCAATAACCGCAACACAAGGAGTCAACATGCAAACAAAAAGACAACTCTGATAATAGGACAGTGCATATTATTCGATCCAACTTCCATTAATGAATATTTCTCAATTCTATAGTGATGGCAAAGTTTAATTGAAATCACAAAATTGATGTTAATTCACAAAAGAGCATCATTCTGTCAGAAGTGGGATTCGAACCCACGCCTCCAGGGGAGACTGCGACCTGAACGCAGCGCCTTAGACCGCTCGGCCATCCTGACTGTGGCATGGTGTCACAATAGGATAATTTTAATCCATTCTCAGCATCGATCCACGTGGTTCGTGTGAAATATACATTCTCATTATTTATCCAGGTGCAGTGTTCGATTTCACTCGGACAACTTCTGTCTTTCTCCGAACACCGCTTTATCTACAACTCTCAGCATGTCCTCCACATTCTACAGTATCCAGGTCGCCACGGCTCGCTCGCCGTGCGTCACTCGACTCGCTCGCCACCTTTGTCTCTCCATTCCCCACGATTACTTCACTTACTCCGCACTCAGCGTCTTCGCACACAGCGACTTCGCACACAGCGTCTTCGCACACAGCGAACTTCGCACCCAGCGTCTTACAAACTCTGTCTCTCAAACTCTCTCTCTCAAACTCTCCACACTTCAATTCCGCCTGTTGACTCCAAGCTCTCCAAACTCAAAATCCCGCTCCAATAGGCGACCCCCCAATTTATCCCCGCTATCATTACGCCTTAATTAATTAGTCCGCGTCCCAACGGCACTCCGCGTGATCGTACACCTGCTTCTCGCCAGACTTCCAGACGCCTCCCCGGCCCCGGCAACAGCACCAAACAATCACAGCCGTCCTTGGCTCTCCCAGCTTAATTGTCCTAACATTACCTGCACTGTATTTGCCTTCGTTACAGGCTGACCCAACATGAACCCCAATGACATTGCCTTCACAACAGGCTGACCCAACATAAACCACACTGTCTCTGCTTCCATGCAATACGCACCTTTCTACTCCACTACACAGGCAAGAAGACTTCCTCATCACAAGTGATTCAAGCAAGACAATACCCATCATTTTTTGACAAACTAGTTGTCGTTTAGACGGACGCATGATCCGAGAAATAGGGAATTCCAATAATTACTCAGAAACATCCGTGAAGAATAATCATAGCAAAGATGCATTTCATCAAGGAAATGCAGTGATTCTTAGTAATGTTTAATTGAGGGTAGTGCCTGAATCTTATCGCCAAATTTAATCGAAATTGTAGTGCTAGTGTCATGCATGGTATTAAGCATACAATTCGACTTCGTGCAGGGCTGGCCTACGGATTACGTGAGACAATGGTTCATGGAAAAATATATCACAGAACTGATTAACAAAATATCATCAAGTTACTTCATATCCACACCAGAAGGGCAGCACTATACGACCTGCCCTATAACAGGAAGACAATTAGTCAGTATAGTAGTCATAGCAGTGTTATAAATTTTAATTTTACATGTTTTTAATGCCGACCCCGTGCATACCAACGCTGATTTTTTGCATTGTGTTTCCCTCCATAATATATATGTAATGCTCTCAATCATTCTTTGTCCGTGTCTTTTGTTTTTCTCATATTTATATTTCACCATACTTTCCTGCCAACTTCCATTATTGAAAATTTCTCAATTCTATAGTGATAGCAAAGTTTAATTGAAATCACAAAATTGTTGTTAATTCACAAAAGAGCATCATTCTGTCAGAAGTGGGATTCGAACCCACGCCTCCAGGGGAGACTAGCGACCTGAACGTAGCGCCTTAGACCGCTCGGCCATCCTGACTGTGGCATGGTGTCACAATAGGATAATTTCAATCCATTCTCAGCAATCGATCCACGTGGTTCGTGTGAAATATACATTCTCATTATTTATCCGGTCAAGACCACTTCCTCATCACCAGTGAATCAAGCAAGACAGTACCAACCATTATTGACAAACTAGTTGTCGTTTAGACGGACGCATGATCCTAGAAAGAGGGAATTCCAATATTTACTCAGAAACATCCGTGAAGAATAATCATAACCAAGATGCATTTGATCAAGGAAATGCAGTGATTGTCAGTAATGTTTAATTGAGGGTAGTGCCGAATTTTATCGCCAAATTTAATCGAAATTGTACCGCTAGTGTCATGTATGGTATTAAGCGTACAATTCGACTTCGTGCAGGGCTGGTCTACGGCCTATGTGAGACAATGGTTCATGGAAAAATATATCACAGAACTGAGTGACAAAATATCATCAAGTTACTTCATATCCACACCAGAAGGGCAGCACTATCCTACCTGCCCTACAACAGGAAGACAATTATGAGACCTCCTTTGCCAGTAACAAGATATAGTAATAGGTTTTACCCTTTTAACTGGCACAAAAAACTGACACCTTTATTCAAGGCATCATGTCTGCAATAACCGCAACACAAGGAGTCAAAATGCAAACAAAAAGACAACTCTGATAATAGGACAGTGCATATTATTCGATCCAACTTCCATTAATGAATATTTCTCAATTCTATAGTGATGGCAAAGTTTAATTGAAATCACAAAATTGATGTTAATTCACAAAAGAGCATCATTCTGTCAGAAGTGGGATTCGAACCCACGCCTCCAGGGGAGACTGCGACCTGAACGCAGCGCCTTAGACCGCTCGGCCATCCTGACTGTGGCATGGTGTCACAATAGGATAATTTTAATCCATTCTCAGCATCGATCCACGTGGTTCGTGTGAAATATACATTCTCATTATTTATCCGGTCAAGACCACTTCCTCATCACCAGTGAATCAAGCAAGACAGTACCAACCATTATTGACAAACTAGTTGTCGTTTAGACGGACGCATGATCCTAGAAAGAGGGAATTCCAATATTTACTCAGAAACATCCGTGAAGAATAATCATAACCAAGATGCATTTGATCAAGGAAATGCAGTGATTGTCAGTAATGTTTAATTGAGGGTAGTGCCGAATTTTATCACCAAATTTAATCGAAATTGTACCGCTAGTGTCATGTATGGTATTAAGCGTACAATTCGACTTCGTGCAGGGCTGGTCTACGGCCTATGTGAGACAATGGTTCATGGAAAAATATATCACAGAACTGAGTGACAAAATATCATCAAGTTACATCATATCCACACCAGAAGGGCAGCACTATCCTACCTGCCCTACAACAGGAAGACAATTATGAGACCTCCTTTGCCAGTAACAAGATATAGTAATAGGTTTTACCCTTTTAACTGGCACAAAAAACTGACACCTTTATTCAAGGCATCATGTCTGCAATAACCGCAACACAAGGAGTCAACATGCAAACAAAAAGACAACTCTGATAATAGGACAGTGCATATTATTCGATCCAACTTCCATTAATGAATATTTCTCAATTCTATAGTGATGGCAAAGTTTAATTGAAATCACAAAATTGATGTTAATTCACAAAAGAGCATCATTCTGTCAGAAGTGGGATTCGAACCCACGCCTCCAGGGGAGACTGCGACCTGAACGCAGCGCCTTAGACCGCTCGGCCATCCTGACTGTGGCATGGTGTCACAATAGGATAATTTTAATCCATTCTCAGCATCGATCCACGTGGTTCGTGTGAAATATACATTCTCATTATTTATCCAGGTGCAGTGTTCGATTTCACTCGGACAACTTCTGTCTTTCTCCGAACACCGCTTTATCTACAACTCTCAGCATGTCCTCCACATTCTACAGTATCCAGGTCGCCACGGCTCGCTCGCCGTGCGTCACTCGACTCGCTCGCCACCTTTGTCTCTCCATTCCCCACGATTACTTCACTTACTCCGCACTCAGCGTCTTCGCACACAGCGACTTCGCACACAGCGTCTTCGCACACAGCGACTTCGCACCCAGCGTCTTACAAACTCTGTCTCTCAAACTCTCTCTCTCAAACTCTCCACACTTCAATTCCTGCCTGTTGACTCCAAGCTCTCCAAACTCAAAATCCCGCTCCAATAGGCGACCCCCCAATTTATCCCCGCTATCATTACGCCTTAATTAATTAGTCCGCGTCCCAACGGCACTCCGCGTGATCGTACACCTGCTTCTCGCCAGACTTCCAGACGCCTCCCCGGCCCCGGCAACAGCACCAAACAATCACAGCCGTCCTTGGCTCTCCCAGCTTAATTGTCCTAACATTACCTGCACTGTATTTGCCTTCGTTACAGGCTGACCCAACATGAACCCCAATGACATTGCCTTCACAACAGGCTGACCCAACATAAACCACACTGTCTCTGCTTCCATGCAATACGCACCTTTCTACTCCACTACACAGGCAAGAAGACTTCCTCATCACAAGTGATTCAAGCAAGACAATACCCATCATTTTTTGACAAACTAGTTGTCGTTTAGACGGACGCATGATCCGAGAAATAGGGAATTCCAATAATTACTCAGAAACATCCGTGAAGAATAATCATAGCAAAGATGCATTTCATCAAGGAAATGCAGTGATTCTTAGTAATGTTTAATTGAGGGTAGTGCCTGCATCTTATCGCCAAATTTAATCGAAATTGTAGTGCTAGTGTCATGCATGGTATTAAGCATACAATTCGACTTCGTGCAGGGCTGGCCTACGGATTACGTGAGACAATGGTTCATGGAAAAATATATCACAGAACTGATTAACAAAATATCATCAAGTTACTTCATATCCACACCAGAAGGGCAGCACTATACGACCTGCCCTATAACAGGAAGACAATTAGTCATATAGTAGTCATAGCAGTGTTATAAATTTTAATTTTACATGTTTTTAATGCCGACCCCGTGCATACCAACGCGATTTTTTGCATTGTGTTTCCCTCCATAATATATATGTAATGCTCTCAATCATTCTTTGTCCGTGTCTTTTGTTTTTCTCATATTTATATTTCACCATACTTTCCTGCCAACTTCCATTATTGAAAATTTCTCAATTCTATAGTGATAGCAAAGTTTAATTGAAATCACAAAATTGTTGTTAATTCACAAAAGAGCATCATTCTGTCAGAAGTGGGATTCGAACCCACGCCTCCAGGGGAGACAGCGACCTGAACGTAGCGCCTTAGACCGCTCGGCCATCCTGACTGTGGCATGGTGTCACAATAGGATAATTTCAATCCATTCTCAGCAATCGATCCACGTGGTTCGTGTGAAATATACATTCTCATTATTTATCCGGTCAAGACCACTTCCTCATCACCAGTGAATCAAGCAAGACAGTACCAACCATTATTGACAAACTAGTTGTCGTTTAGACGGACGCATGATCCTAGAAAGAGGGAATTCCAATATTTACTCAGAAACATCCGTGAAGAATAATCATAACCAAGATGCATTTGATCAAGGAAATGCAGTGATTGTCAGTAATGTTTAATTGAGGGTAGTGCCGAATTTTATCGCCAAATTTAATCGAAATTGTACCGCTAGTGTCATGTATGGTATTAAGCGTACAATTCGACTTCGTGCAGGGCTGGTCTACGGCCTATGTGAGACAATGGTTCATGGAAAAATATATCACAGAACTGAGTGACAAAATATCATCAAGTTACTTCATATCCACACCAGAAGGGCAGCACTATCCTACCTGCCCTACAACAGGAAGACAATTATGAGACCTCCTTTGCCAGTAACAAGATATAGTAATAGGTTTTACCCTTTTAACTGGCACAAAAAACTGACACCTTTATTCAAGGCATCATGTCTGCAATAACCGCAACACAAGGAGTCAAAATGCAAACAAAAAGACAACTCTGATAATAGGACAGTGCATATTATTCGATCCAACTTCCATTAATGAATATTTCTCAATTCTATAGTGATGGCAAAGTTTAATTGAAATCACAAAATTGATGTTAATTCACAAAAGAGCATCATTCTGTCAGAAGTGGGATTCGAACCCACGCCTCCAGGGGAGACTGCGACCTGAACGCAGCGCCTTAGACCGCTCGGCCATCCTGACTGTGGCATGGTGTCACAATAGGATAATTTTAATCCATTCTCAGCATCGATCCACGTGGTTCGTGTGAAATATACATTCTCATTATTTATCCAGGTGCAGTGTTCGATTTCACTCGGACAACTTCTGTCTTTCTCCAAACACCGCTTTATCTACAACTCTCAGCATGTCCTCCACATTCTACAGTATCCAGGTCGCCACGGCTCGCTCGCCGTGCGTCACTCGACTCGCTCGCCACCTTTGTCTCTCCATTCCCCACGATTACTTCACTTACTCCGCACTCAGCGTCTTCGCACACAGCGACTTCGCACACAGCGTCTTCGCACACAGCGACTTCGCACCCAGCGTCTTACAAACTCTGTCTCTCAAACTCTCTCTCTCAAACTCTCCACACTTCAATTCCGCCTGTTGACTCCAAGCTCTCCAAACTCAAAATCCCGCTCCAATAGGCGACCCCCCAATTTATCCCCGCTATCATTACGCCTTAATTAATTAGTCCGCGTCCCAACGGCACTCCGCGTGATCGTACACCTGCTTCTCGCCAGACTTCCAGACGCCTCCCCGGCCCCGGCAACAGCACCAAACAATCACAGCCGTCCTTGGCTCTCCCAGCTTAATTGTCCCAACATTACCTGCACTGTATTTGCCTTCGTTACAGGCTGACCCAACATGAACCCCAATGACATTGCCTTCACAACAGGCTGACCCAACATAAACCGCACTGTCTCTGCTTCCATGCAATACGCACCTTTCTACTCCACTACACAGGCAAGAAGACTTCCTCATCACAAGTGATTCAAGCAAGACAATACCCATCATTTT